GGACACAATTCCAGACTCCGTGCTACTACTGAGACAATTTAGTAAAAGCATAAATATCCCAATTCCACTTTACCTTGCCTAGGAATCGATCCCGAAACTCCTTGCAACGCGCGCTTACCAATCGACCAACGATACAGTCAATAAACTATTATGTTCTCGACTTACTCACGTAATTATTTGACGAGGAACTCGACTAGTTTCAAGCCGTGTCAAGACATATGTCGTCATGTCGAAACTGTCAATGTAAAGTTGTATCTGTAAGATATATGTAGCATCACACCTTTTGTTTCTCGAAGGGGTAGACAGAACACTTGTATTGAACGTAACACCGTCTTTTCATGTTATGTTATTTAGTTCAAGCGAACATGTTTCGCTTATAAATAACTGTGTTAGAGCCATGCTTCAGCTCGACCGGAGTGATAGACACGGCCGAACAGAAAACCGACGTGAAGCAACGCTTGCGTTGTGTTTCCTCCCTAATCCTTGAATCCCCAATAATCCTCAAATTTGTAATCCCAGAAAGGCCGATAACACACTTGTAACGCCTCTGGTGTTCCAGATGTCCATGAGCGACGCCGATTGCTTACCATCAGGTGATCCGTCTGCTTTCCCGGCTTATACCAAGAAAACAAAGAAAAACATGTTGATAAACAACAAAATAAACATCTTAGGTTTATTTTATCCGCCCATTTAATGGTACCTTGAACCCTCGGTCGAGTCAGGAGTAGATTTTCATAAATAATCGATAATTTCATAGTTACCGTCATCGTCTGCCTGTGCAGTACACAGCTAGTCCACTATGGGGTTCAGTAGTTCTGATGCCCCTCCTGTGAAGCAGTCATGCTAGTAAATGAGCCCCCGGCTATCGGGTATCGCAAAACGATCTCCGGCTTCCGTAAGCACCAGTCTGCGGACGGCGAACACGGGTATTTCGCCGCCCGACAAGAACCAGTCCCGATCATAAGCGCGCGCCTTAAGAGCCATCAGGCCACCACCAATGAGGAACACTAGGGCTGTGGCGGAGCCGCGAAGGTCTTAACTTACCGAGGGTCCGACTCGAACGGCAGGAATAGGAATGGGGTGGTTTTTAGTCAGTACGAGTCTGACACTCCCTCTCACCTCACCCAGGCGGGAGAAGTCATTTGATGATTTGCCCCCCTTAAAAAAAAAACATAGTTTCCTTCTTTTTCCAGTTTAAGAGCCTAAAAGCTACTTACTTATAGCTTCAGAATGCGTAATGATGATGCTCATCGAAAGACTTAGGCAAACACGTACAGTCCACTGCCTCCCACAGTCCTCCCCCTAATGACTGCACATCGCGAGGTTGAAAGCGACCTGCATAAAACGACTGCCTACAATCTTTTTTGGGACTCATAGGCACCCACAGTTATCCAAGTTATGCAGGGAAGAAAATAAAGATTGTTTCAGTACAGAGACAATAACCAATGGTTGTCTAGAGCCGACCAATGGTTACAAAAGATATGGCGTCGTTACATAGCATACATAAGCATATTTAAGTGTGGGAGAGCCATGCTTCGGCATGAATGGACCGGCTCGACCGGAGTGATACCACGACCGAGCAGAAAACCGACGTGAAGCAACGCTTGCGTTGTGTTTCGTCGTGTGAGTGAGGTTACTGGAAGCCCAATTACCCACCTCTTACCCAATCTCCCCAATCCCTGAATCCCCAACGATCCTCAAACTCCTAATCCCCAAAAGGCCGGTAACGCACTTGTAACGCCTCTGGTGTTCCAGGTGTCCATGGGCGACGCCGATCGGTTACCATCAAAAAATAATACAATAGTATGACAACAGCTACTGTCTCTGTACTGAATCTATCTTTATTTTCCTACCTGCGTATTAAATAACTTGCCTGATTCTACATGATAATGTCTATAATGTCTAAAATTAAAGTTGCTGCACTAGGTATATCGAAATGAATTAGCAGATTGCATTACTTATCGACATATGAGTTCTTATCGCTAGATTATCACTAACATACATAATGATAATGATAAATAGTTTTCAAAGTGCAAATATAGTATGACGAGTAGAATAGAACATTCGTCAGCACCCCTGTGCCTTTAGCCAAACGCCACTTTAGCGCTTGTCTACAGAGAGAGTAGAAATCAAAATGTATGGAGATGACACTGACAAGTATCAAAATTTACGTCAATTCCATATAATTTGGTTTTCTACTCTACAAGTAGACAAGCGCTAAATGGAAATTGGCTAAAGGCACACGCTCTTACCACGGGTGTCGTATACCCGACTAAGGGACTACACATTTGACTGAGACCGGGCAGCAGCGGTCTCTGATAACCCTCAACTTTTTAAAGCTGTGATCTTCATCCCATTGGCCAAGTGTCGAGGCAAAGTGTGAGAGAGCCATGCTTCGGCACGAATGGGCCGGCTCGACCGGAGTGATACCACGGCCGAGCAGAAAACCGACGTGAAACAACGATTGTATTGTGTTTCGGGTGTTTCATTCAGGTGATCATGGGCGACGCCGATTGCTTACCATCAGGTGATCCGTCTGCTCGTTTACCGACTTATACCATAAAAAATAGGGCAAATCTGTCATCTCTCTTTTAAAACTACGATCTCCATCCCACTGGCCAACTGTGGAGATTATGGCAAATCTCTCTTTTAAAACTACGATCTCCATCCCATTGGCCAACTGTGGAGATTATGAAAAATCTCTCTATTGAAACTACATTTTCCATTCCACTGGCCAACTGTGGAGATAAATCTCTCTTTTAAGACTACCATCTTCATCCCACTGGCCAAATGTGGAGATTATGTTTTTCTCTCGCAGAGGTGGCCCATAGTCCAACAGTGGATTCTCACGAGCGTTTGATGTAAATATAGTATAGAGCGTCCTCCAACTTGTTGGAGTAGAGCCGCGGAAGACTTAACGGGTTACCGGGGCTCCGGTTCGAAGTGCAGGAGAAGGAACGGGGTGGTTTTTAGTCAGTAAGAGTCTGACACTCCATCTCGCCTCACCCGGACAAAAGAAGTCATTGGACGATTTTCCCTCTTCAAAAAAAAATCTTGTTGTAGTGGCCATATCCGCTATTTGGCTGGCAGTGGTTGGATGAGAAGAGCTGAAGATCGAGTTTAGTAGCGGGATATTAGAGAGGCCTTTGTCAGCTATGGACGGAAATGGACTGATGATAATTTTCATTTTATTCTAAGGATATCTGACACTGCCTTGCTGGTTGCGTCGTAACAGCAACTACCGAGTCGAGGATCGACGCTCACTCCAAACAAAATGTTATACGTATTTTCTATGGTATAAGCCGGTAAACGAGCATACAAATCACCTGATGGTAAGCAATCAGCGCCGCCCATGGACACCTTGGAACACCAGAGGCGTTACATGTGCGTTACCAGCGTTTTGGGGATTAGGAATTTGAGGATTGTTGTGGATTCAGGGGTTGAGGAGATTGGGAAATTGGGCCTCTGGTTTGGGCCTCTGGTTACGTCACTCACACGACGAAATACAACGTTGTTTCATAAGGTTTTCTGTGAGGCCGTGGTTTTATCGGTTAGCACTACTAAAATATTGATAGATGGCCTCATTCTTTAAGGATTATGCAACATAACATAACATCACGCCTTTTATCCCCGAAGCGGTAGACAGAGGTGTGCATTACGGATTACGGCACTTAATGCCACTGTACAATGTAACACCCACTTTTTACGATTTATATTATGAGTCCCATGTAATAGGGGGTTGTCGCGGAGAACCTAACAGGTAACCGGGGCTCCGGCTCGACGTGCAGGAGAAGGAACGGGGTGGTTTTTAGTCAGTAAGAGTATGACACTCCCTCCCGCCTCACCCAGGCGGGAGCAGTCATTCGAAGATTTTCCCGCCATAAAAAAAATGAGTCCCATGTAATAGGGGTGAGCCTATTGACATTTACCGGGCACAATTTCAGACTCCGTGCTACTACTGAGATTTTTTTAATAAACCCCGGTGATACTTTGCTCGACCCGAGAATCGAACCCGAGACCCCTTGCCCGGCAGTCGAACTTGCGACCACTTGTTCAATGAGGATTATACAACTCGACACTGGCAGTATAGTTGACAACACCGTTTTGGAGACTCGGTTGCCAAAGAAGAAAAAAAACTGTATGTAATATCCATCGTAAAGAATTGACCATGAATTAATTTGTTCAGATCACAGTTCAAAATGATCGCACAAAATTCTCTACGGTGTAACATCACTATGCATTTCAAGGTGAGAGTTCAAAACCTACCAACGGCAAACGTACCAATGTGACTTTTTCCGAGTTACATGTACTTTCTAATATTATTTAAATACCTCTGACAAACGGTGAAGAAAAACATCGTGAGGAAACCTGGGCTTATAATTTCTAATTATAAGTTTGAAACCGCCAACCCGCATTGAGCAAGCGTGGTGATTAATGCTCAAACCTTCTCCGTGTGTAGAGGCTTTGCTCAGCAGTGGGCACTTATAAGCTGTTGATGATGCATTTCAGGGTTAGGCCAATAGACTCACCCCCTACTACATGGGACTCATAACATAATTTGTGACTGCTTACATTGTATCACCTCTGTCTACTCCTCCGATAATTGAAAATAGAGATGCACCGAATATTCGGTTACTATCCGGTATCTGGCTTATCCGGCCGTTTTTTACTATCCGGCCAGATACCGGATAGTAAACTAGGTAGATTTTTTAATGAAATCTAAATAAGACAGTTGTAATTGAATCTTTTTATTATTTTAAACAATGTTAACTTTTTATAATACGCGATAAATGACGGTAAGCGACACGCACAGACGAAACTCAAAATGTAGGTATCACACTGCCGGCCGAATATTCGGCGGCCGGATACCGAATATTCGGCTTGTGGTCAGGCCGAATATCCGGTATCTCGCCAAACAACTGTTCGTTGCATCTCTAATTGAAAACCATGATAAATGTATGTATGTCATGACATAATAATTGTTTATTCTGATATTTCAGGTTGATGTGGAGAATGGTAACCATCAAGTTGGTGATGATACTGAGGACTTGAGTTCGGGAGACCTGACAGATTCCATTGACTTCAGAAGTGACTTAACTGCAGATAATATGGAGGGAGAAGGTAGGAGTTCATTGATTGATTCTAGTTTTATTTAGTAGGTACCTATCTAACCTCCTGGCTGCGAATTCACCCATGTGGAATTATTAGATTTTAAGTGTGAGAGAGCCATGCTTCGGCACGAATGGGCTGGTTCGACCGGAGTGAAACCACGGCCGAGCAGAAAACCGACGTGAAACAACGCTTGCGTTGTGTTTCGTCGTGTCAGTGTGGTTACCGGAGGCCCAACTACCCCCTTTCCTCAATCTCCCCAATCTTTGAATCCTTAACAATCCTCAAATTCCTAACCTCCAAACGCACTTGTAACGGGTCTGGTACTCCAGGTGTCCATGGGCGGCGGTGATTGCGTATCGCAGTCCAGTGTGGAAGAACCATCTCCCACACTAGACTTGTTTGATTGGCCCACACTTGGTTTCTATATTGTGTACATTACAAGTGCGTTGCGGACTATCTAGGCAACTTAGTTGTTACACAATCATTTTTGGAAACCCGAGAATCTTGGCACAATTTGATTTACAAGCAATTTCTAATAATATAACAATAATTTCCAGAAAAGAGTCACGAGGAGAAGAAGTCCAAGATCCCGATGTTGCGGCTGAGGCAGGCCGTGGAGAGAGTGAAGCGAGAGAGACAGGCGCAGAAGGAGAAAGCCAAAGTGAGTTTAAAACATCATTATTGATTTATAATTGCACTGTATAGATGGTGCGGTGGTTGGCCAACCGGCTGCCGTGCAACGTGTCGTGGGTTCGATTCCCGCACTGAACAACACTTTGTGTGATCCACAAATTGGTGTTTTGGGTCTGGGTGTCATTGTGTATAGTGAACTTGTATGTTTATAGACGCACCCACGACATAGGAGAAAACCATAGTGTCAGGCAACGTTTAAAAAAAAATAAACTGCCCCACTGCTGGGTAAAAGGCCTGTCTATATTTTTAAACAGTTTTGTTTAAACTATTATTGGAAACGGGTGTACTTAGGCCGATGCCCGCTTACTATCAGGCGAGACTTACGTAAAAGCATTTATTTCAATTAATCCTAAATTAGGCACTTTTGAAACGTCAAAACTTCAATTGTCCGTCCGTCCTACTTTCCCGTTCAAGTCAAATTGGATAATGTAAACTTATCATTCTCAGATCCTAGATACAATAATATTTTAATCAGATTACTAATTGTCACTTAACATTTTCAGCCTCGCAGATCGTCAATCCCAAAGCTAAAAGATCCTAAGAAAGTCAAAAGGGACACCTCATTAAAGTTCGAGCCACAAGTAGACGACGAATTCGAAAAATTATACGAAGAAATAGTAGATGATAAACCAGTTGAGGCTGAAGTAAAACTACCAGTAGTTTCAATAGACGATCCTGAGAAAATTGAGACTAAATTCGAAGAACTTATACACGCTTATGATGAAGAAGAAACAGCAGTAGAAGAGAAAGTAGTAGAACAAGTAGCAAACGAAGAAAGAGTGGCAGAACAAGTTGTAGCAGAAGAAAATGTAGTAGAACAAGTTGTGGAAGAAGAAAAACCGAGTATTTCTAAAGTATCAAAAATACCAGCGTTAAGGAAAAAAGAAGACAGTCCAAGTATGAGAGCTTTAATGGAAAGAGTTAAAGAAGTAAGTGCTGCTGAAGCTAAGTTAAAAGATGGCGGGTTCAAAGTTACAGCTTCTAATATAAGGACTAAACGATACTCTAGAGGTAACTCTGACTTAAGTAGAGATGAACAGCAAATTGACTCAATAGAAGAAGTTGATGTTAAGGAAGAAGATGACGTTTTTGGCAAAGATAATGCACAAAGTATTGAAAAAGATGGCAAGGCTAGTAAAACTGATAGAAAAGTTGCGAAGACAAGGTCTGGTCGTAGCAAATCTGAACTCATAGAACAACATCGTCAAGCTAAACTAAGAGAAGAGTTAAGAAGAAAGCAAAAGAAATTAAGAAACGAGGTTGAAGATCCAGTCATAGTAGATAAAGTTGGTGATAATATTGACGATTTAAATGCTGTTCTAATGAAAACAGAGAGAATAGTTCGGAATATATCAAGAGAGATTAATGACGATAAGAAAAGTATTATTAATACTGAGACAGTGACTACCGAAGAACAAAACAATGATGGTACAAGGACGATAACTACAAAAACTGTTGAAACTTTCGAAGTGGGCACGCCAGTTGTACAGGAAAAAATCATCCGTAATATTAGTCGAGAGAGCACTGGAAATACCGAAGTTATAAGTGACGATAAGCCAAAGAAAGCAGCTACAGGTATTTCTGTTAAAACTGAAAGATTCACTCGAGGTATCAGTCGAGAAATGGGTAATTTCAAACAGAGTATTCATCGAGAAATCATCCCACCTAAAGAAGACCTTAACTCTAGTGATAATAAAGTTGAAAATAAACCAGTAGTTGCGAAAGAGACAATGAGAGTTGAACAAATAGAGAAAGAAGGCATTAAGGTCGGTATACCAGTGTTTACTAAAATCACTCGAAGTTATTCCAAGGGTAAGGTACAGAATGTTGAAATGTCAAGAACAATTGAATGGAAACCAGCTGACGTAGTCACAAATAAAGCTTATGCACGCAGTGTAAGTGAAAAGGTTACCAAAAACGAACTAAAAGACACTAAACAAAACTTCAATGCTCCTGTATCTGAAACAAATGAAAATAATGCTGCAAATGGTATCAATGGTGATTCTACAAGAGATACAGAAATAGAAAATAATATAAAACATGCAGTCAAAGAAGCAGCAAAGACGAAATCAATAAGAAAGGTAACTGAGTTTAAAACAGAGGAACAAGTTACTAATGAAGAAAGGACAACGTTCACTCTAAGTAGAAGTGTAGATTTGAGTCTAGAAAATGATTTCAAAGCAGCCAGAGCGATTGGAACTCAAATGAGCGTTGATGGGCAAAATATAGATCGCGATTATAAAATAGGTAAAGATGCAAGCACTAGAATTAGTGTTATAAACGAAAACAATGGTCCTAAAGGCAATAAACCCTCTCGAGAAATAGGCACACAAATGAGTGTAGATGTATCTACAGTACAAGAAGAAAAACACGAAGAAAACAATAAAGAACAGTCTGTAAATGAAAAGAATAAGACAGAAGATAGTAATTTGCCTGTGAAAGACAAGGATAGTGATATTACACCAGTTACTACTTTGAAAGGTAATGTTATTAGATTGAAAGAAAAGATAGCTAAAGATAAAGAAATCGTTTCTAAGAAGGATAAGGAAGAGGAGTTTCCTAAGAAGAAGTCTGTGCTATCCAAGATTGCTATGTTTGAGGTAAGTGCCGCACCTACCATATGTACATTATATATTTATCTATTTTGTTTATCTTACATCCGAATTAAACAACTGGAATCAACTGAAAAATCATATAATTTCACCAATTCGGTACGCGTTTAATTTATTGTTGTCAATCTAAATACTGATATTATGGCCGAAGTTTAATAATGTCATATGAATTCACCTCCCAACAATAAATCGAGTAAATTGAGAAGTGACAATTTTAATATGAAAAATACCTATGAGGTAAATTAATTTTGTTTTAGAAACTAAAGGGTAGTCCTCAAAAGGCTGGTAACGCACTTGTAACGCCTCTGGTGCTCCGGGTGACGTCGATTGGTTACCATCAGGTGATAAAAAAGCTGTAATTAGAGGTATTCGTTTCGTGAGGAGCCCATTTGCCATCGCTCAATAAGGTCTATTGTTAGAAGTAAACCAGCTGTAAATTCGGTGGTTTGGGATAAGCCGGTAAACGAGCTGACGGATCACCTGATGATAAACAATGGACGTCCCCACTCGGAACACCAGGGGCTTTAGTTTGTAAAGGGAAAATATAATACGTACACCTATAACATAATTTTAACCGCAACTATATTTCATATTTCAGCGCCTCGAGAAAGATCCAATAGAGCAGCTGCCACTTCGAAAACTAAAATGCAAGTATGTTCCACCGAACAAGCCTACATACCATACTGAAGAGCAAGAAGAAGAAGTAACAAATACAGTTGTTGACGAACCAAAAGAAGAACCACAATCAGAACCTAATAATAAAGAAGATAAAGTTGAAATCAGCGCGGCTTACGACACTGTTGCTTATACCAATGAACCTATTATAGTAAAAGAGTATTTAAAATCTGAATACAATGAAAACCTTTTAAAAGATAATAAATTTGCTGAAGAAGAAACTCCAGGAAATATAGAAAAAGATGCGACAAACTTAGATGATATAGAATACACAGAACCTGTGAGTCCTTTACCTGAAATTGTTAACTTGAATCCTAATGACAGTATAATTGAAATACCTAAAACGCCAGAACCTAGAAAAGATACAGAAATGCCAACTATATTCCCACCAAGAAGAGATTACGAAGCAGACATAGGTAGAACGAGGCCAGGAAAGCTAAATCTAAACAATTGGACTAGTCAAGTTGAAATTAACAAAAGCACAGTTGATAAAATTGCTGTTTTCAAAGAAGAACAAATACAAGAAATAGTTCAGACGTTACCTTCTATAGACATCAAAGCGTACGCAAGTCAAGTCTCGGTAAGCCAAGAATTACCGAGAAATATTGACGAAAAAAGAAATGAAGATGATGAAAAATCAGTCGAAGTACTTTATGAAAAGGTTGAAATTCAATTTGAAACTGCTCAAACTATACCAGAAGTAATTGAGGTTACTTCTGTAGGTAACATTGAAATTAAGGATGAATATCAACATGTAGACGATGAAAATCTACCACCAGATGAAATAGACACTCAGTCTTATGATTTAGTACCAGAAACAGACTCTGGATGCCCAGTCCTAACTGTATTGGACCTCGAAGCCTTAAAGCTCATGAATGCATCGCCAGGAACTCGTGAATCACTCGTAGAAGCTAAACCAAAACCAGGAAAACTAGACCTTAGTTTATGGAGAAATAAAGTTGAAGAAAACAGAAATAATTCTGGTAAGGACATTAAGAATAAACCTAAAAATACTGAAATTAGGCAGGAAGCTGCAGATAAAGTATTTAGGCCTAGACGTATTAGTGATACGGTGCCACTGATAATGACCCTTAACAACGATGAAAATAAGGATGAAACTCCTGTGGATCAAGATAATAAAACTAACGATAATACTTATAATTATGCAATAACTGATTCAGATGTATCAGTAGATGAAATATATACTTCATCGTCTGAATCCGATTTTGAAGAAAGCTTTAAAGGTAGGGATAGGTATGGAATGCCAACTTCGTACAAAAAAGATGTTGAAAAACCGAAACCAAAACCAGGCAAGCTAGACCTCAGTATGTGGAAAAATCAGGTAGAGGCAAACAGAAGTCTTGTTGATAAGGATAAAAAGAATAAATCTAAAAAACCTGAAATAACAACTGAAACTCTAGGCAAAAAAGTCTTCAAACCATATATTAGAGGAACCACTGGTGTAGTGCAAGGAAAAGACGACCCTAATAATGCTGGGAGTAAAGATGAAACTCCTGAAACAGGCACTGAATATAAATCAGAAATACAAGTGGAAATAGAAACTATTTTACCTGAAACAGTTTACGCAAAATCTACTGATACTATGCCTGAAACAGCAAAACCTTTCATTGCATTAATTGATGTTAATAAACACGTAACCACATATGTACCTAATGAAAATAATGTTACAGAAGAACAGCCAAAAATTCTTCAAGGGAAAATCGACCTTGAGACAGGTTATACTTATGAGTGTAAAGCTGAAAATGTCGTGCACGAACCAGATACTGTATGCTTTACTTCATCTGATTATGTAGAAGAAAATGTGACGACTCTGCCAGCAATTATCACCTTTGAAACTGATAACATTGAGGTTGAAAGTCCTAAGCCTGGTAAACTTGATTTGAAAGCTTGGGAAGACCAAGTTGAAGCTAATAAAGTACTTGTAGACAAAATAGAAGTTGTGAGAAATGAACACCTTGAGGATGTAGCAAAAATATTGACTGAGAAAGTCGATTTTGTAACTTTTGAACATGTGGGTCAAGCTAGGATGTTTCAAGCAACAGTAGACCTTGGTGATGATGCTAATAAAGTTGAAATTGCTGAAGCAGACGACGATTTGGATATTGACATTGATGTAGAAGATAATACTGAACCAGATAGTAATATAGCTCCTTTGAATTATATCTTTCCTCGTCGAGCTTCAAGGGATGATCAACTTAATGATGAAGGACATAAAGCTCAAATTCTTAATCAATTAGTATCTGAATCACTCAGCGACCCTGAACTTGTCGACGAAAAAACAAATTTTAATAAAGACTCAGTCGTTGGAAGTGTGAAAAGAAAACTGTACTTTCTATCTAGTATCAGTAGAAGTCATAATCCCGTAATCCGCGAAGATTCAAGAGAAATAGACAATATAGATAATAATGACGACACAAAAGAAAATGAAATAGAAACTAAAGCGTATATCATAAACGATTTAGGTCCAAAATCGAATGCAGCAAGCATAGAAGATATAGAAGCTCACACAAGCATTGTGACAGAGAATAACAAACCATCAACACCACCAAACACAGCTCATATTGAAACAGCAGACATAAAAGGACGTTCAAACGAAAACGTATTTCATTTTGACGTAGCAAGGGTTGAAAATAGGATGACGAGAAGTGTATATGGAGTGGGTGAATTCAAAAATTCTACGGAAGATATGAAAAGAGCTAAATCTTTGGCAGAACTGGACCTAGGTGATGCTGTTCAGGGAAAAGTCAAGAGCATTCTTAGTAGGATCAATTCTGTAGATTTCGGAAGACGAGAGAGCATCAAAACTTCAATAAGCGTTAAAGAGATGCCTAAGAAGATGTCTGTACTGGAAAAAATTGCACTATTTGAGGTAAGTCGATAAAATATTTAAGTTTTTTATGGGTCTGACTTGATGGCGGAGTGGTCACAAGTGAATCTCGGGTCCGATTCCCGGGTCGAGCAAAGTTTTAGTGGGTTTTTAAGAAAAATTTTTAGTTGTAGCACGGAGTCTGGAAAAGTGTCCGGTATATGGCAATAGGCTCACCCCCTATTTGATGGGACTCGTAACATCTTCGCACATCGCATAAGCTTCCTTGTGCGTTTGCGTACTCCAAAAGAGTGGAATTCTTTGCCAGACTCTGTGTTTCCTGAAGGGTGGGTGGTGTCTTCAAGGCCCGAGTGAATAGGTTGCTTATGGGACGACGTGCTCCATCGTAGACCGCATCATCGCTTACCACCAGGCGAGATAGCGGCCAAACGTCAGCCTATCATATATAAAAAAAAATGAAAAGTGGGTGTTGAATTGCAGTGGCATTAAATGCTATAAAGTGCACCTCTGCCTACCCCTTCGGGGATAATAAAGGCGTAAAGATATGTGTTTTTTTATGGGATAGGCCAGTAAACGAGCAGATCCATCACCTGATGGTAAGCAATCGGCGCCCATGGACACCGTCAACACTAGAGGAGTTAAAAGTTCGTTGCTAGCACCTTGAGGAACACGGTCCTATGAAATTACCGATCGTGTTCACGAAATATTTGGGCGATCATCATCGCAAGCACAGTTCGCTGAACAACGGGCCTCGCGTCCGATATACGAGTTTGGGCAACGTATTATTTTTATGTTTTCTATTTTGTGTTTTGTTCTATTAATTTTTTTTTAATTTGTTCTATTTTTTTCTATATATTTTGTTTTTTCCCTATAACATAGTACTAAAAAACATCGAGCCAATGTCAGTCATCCAAATAGTTTAAAAGTATATACTGATACGCCTTAACGTCGGAGTCCTATATATACATTGTGGATATTATCTAGTTCCCACCAGTCCATACAATGACACCGGGCACAATTTGAGACACAAATAATCTACAACTGCCTCGTTGGCCGAGTGGTTGCAAGAGCAACTGCCGGGCAAGGGGTCTCGGGTTCGATTCCCGGGCAAAGTATTACTGGGTTTTAAAAAAAATCTCAATAGTAGCACGGAGTCTGGAATTGTGCCCGGTATTTGGCAATAGGCTCACCCCCTATTACATGGGACTCATAACATAAATAGTGAAAAGTGGGTGTTACATTGTGCAGTGGCATTATGTGCACCTCTGCCTACCCCTTCGGGGATAAAAGGCGTGATGTTATGTTATATTGTATAAGTAATACCGTATTAGTATTACCTAAGGTCTTGAAGATCAAAATAAGCCAAATGTTCGTGGAAGTCCAGGGAAGATCTAAATGGTGAGAAATAAGTCGAGTAAAAAATATTTTTAGGTGTTACGAAGTTTGCCGGTATATCTATATAGCTGCGGAGAACTTAACGGGTTGCCGGGGCTCCGGCTCGAAGTGCAAGAGTAGGAACGGGGTGGTTTTTAGTCAGTAAGAGTCTGACACTCCCTCTCGCCTCACCCAGGCGGGAGCAGTCATTCGATGATTTTCTCCCCTTAAAAAACTAAAGCTAAATAAAACTATTTCACATGAACAGCCTATAAGTGTCCACTGCTGACCAAAGGCCTCTCTCACACGGAGAAGGTTTGACCATTAATCACTACGCTTGCTCAATGCGGGTTAGCGATTTCAAACTTATAATTAGAATTACAATCGTAGGTTTCCTCACGATGTTTCCCTTCGCCGTTTGTCAGTGGTGTCTAGATAATCTTAGAAAGTACATATAACTCGGAAAAAGTCATATTGGTACTTTTTTTATAGCATAAGCCGGTAAACGAGCAGACGGATCACCTGATGGTAAGCAATCGGCGTCGCCCATTGACACCTGGAACACCAGAGGCGTTACAAGTGCTTTACCGACCTTTTGGGGATTAGGAGTTTGAGGATCTTTGGGGATTCAGGAATTGGGGAGATTGGGGAAAGGGAGGGTAATTGGACCTCCGGTAACCTCACTCACACGACGAAACACAACGAAAGCGTTGCTTCACGTCGGTTTTCTGTGAGGCCGTGGTTTCACTCCCGTCAAGCCGGCCCATTCGTGCCGAAGCATGGCTGTCCCACGAAAATGGCGTTGGTAGGTTTTGAACACGTAACCTCATGCATGAGAGGCGTGCGTCTTACCCAGGTGGAAGAAGACATTCGATCCTTTCCCCCCTTTAAAAAAGTTTATCTACTTATACAAATGTTCGTTTAAAGACATAAGATTATGTAATCAAAGTTCACCTTGAAAACAGCCACTGATGTAATGTTTTTTAAAATCTCATGCAATGACCGATAAGAACAATTCTTCATAATAATATGATGTCCTAAATATGTCAGATATAAAATAAATAATATCAGCGATAAACTATCAACTACAGATCTGTACAATCTTAAACATTTCGTATTTATAAAAAGGCTAACCTCAATATTTATTCACTCCGGCGGTTGTGAGCGGGTATGTACGATTTGATAGTTATTTTTTCGAAATTTAAATTTGTATATGTACTGCTCACCCCCCTTTCTGGGGGGCAGTTATCATGCAATAACTTCACCCAGTTGTACAGTCTCTTTTTGTGTGAATTTAGGCTTAATTCATTCTGTCTCCTGCAGTAATTCACTGAGGGAAGTGGAAGCTGTCGTTTTTTTTCCTTCTCCTCTTATAATATCTTCTGATTCACTTCGTTGCGACAAGACAGTTATTCATGTCCCTGAGACGCGCCAGACTTCAGTGTTCCGGTGTATTCATGGTTATATCTACTGTAGATCTTGGCTTACAGGAGTTGCAGCAGTTTTGGGACGTTGTGGAGGCTTGCAATGACTTCCCCGCCATTTTTTCTTTGAGAGGGGAATATCATCCAATGATTTCTCCCGCCTGGGTGAGGCGGAAGGGAGTGTCAGACTTTTACTGACTAGAAACCACCCTGTTCCTACTCCTGCACTTCGAGCCGGAGCCCCGGCAACCCATTAAGTCCTCCGCGGCTTCGTATCGGCAGCCCTATTGGGCCCATCTGTAGTGGTTTAATGGCTCTTTGAGGCGCGCGCGAGACGCGACGCGCCGTACGCTCGGGACTTCTTCCACCCTGCGTGAGGCGAGAGAGAGTGTCGGACTCTTACTGACCAAACGCCGTTCCTACTCCTGTTCTGAGCCGGAGCTCGGGTAGCGGTGTTTTTTTTTTAGGGGGTAAAATCATCGAATGACTGCTCCCGCCTGGGTGAGGCGGGAGGGAATGTCATACTCTTACTGACTAAAAACCACCCTGTTCCTTCTCCTGCACGTCGAGCCGGAGCCCCGGTTACCCGTTAGGTTCTCCGCGACCCGGTAGCGGGGTTAGGTTGTCCACAGCTCTGGATAGACTCACCCTCTATTACATGGGAGTCATAACATTACTAATGAGGAGTAGTTGTTACAGTGCATTATGTAGGTAGATAACCTCCCTGAAGAACTTTATAGATGTAAAAAAATATCTTTTTGATTCATAAACTAATTAAATAGGGTAATTTTTATTTCAGTGTCCGTCTGGTAGCTTATTTAAAACACGGAAACGAATACTTTTGAAAATATATTGATTTGAAATATCACGTGACGTCATTTTTGAGTACGATTTATACTCTAAAATCACGTCGCTACCTTCCACTCCTAAACTCAGATTCGTTTTATCTAAGTAAGTATTGTTTTTATATACGACAAAATAAAAAAATACGTGTCTAAAATTTTTTCATTATCTAACTGACGGACTAATTAGATTTTTAATTTTCATACCCTGTCATCATCCCTATTTTAAACCGTTGATCCTGACTTACAATGACCTTAACCGACTTCTCAATAAGGAGGAGGCTATTCATCTTTAAAGGAATTTTCCTGTGCGATTCTCAGTTCGATCAATGATTGTGGAATTTTTCGACTTGCGATAATTTGTACCGACAATAGATTCTGTGCTGCGACAGCAGGGTAGAATACATTTGTCACCGCTACTCTTCCCGCGGGTGTCGTATACCCGACTATGGGACTACACAATTGGGCCTCCGGTAACCTCACTCACACGACGAAACACAACGCAAGCGTTGTTTCACGTCGGTCTTCTGCTCGGCCGTGGTATCATTCCGATCGAGCCGGCCCATTCGTGCCGAAGCATGGCTCTCCCAAACTTAAAATGTATCTCCCTATCTTATGTAGAGGAGGCCCATAGATCATATTGTCATGTCAATGACCTCTCACACCGTGGCCCACCAAAAGGGCCCCATATTACAAATAAATTGACGAACTGAGGCACTTCGCCTTTGTTGTCCAAATGGGCCTACATACACAAAAATTGACAACAAATTACTCTAAGGTCTACTGTTCATGAGGCGTCATTCGACGAATGCATGCAAACTACAAATGACAAATGCTTGCTTGCTTCCAAGTGCGGGAGAGCCATGCTTCGGCACGAATGGGCCGGCTCGACCGGAGTGATACCACGGCCGAGCAGAATACCGACGTGAAGCAACGCTTGCGTTGTGTTTCGTCGTGTGAGTGAGGTTACCGGAAGCGAGTCGTCCGATGCGGTCGCGCGTTTGTATCGATACAATCGCGATGTAGTAGCACGTCAGCATATTGCAGCGCGTTGCAGTTGACTAACACGCCTTAGAAGCGATGCTCTCGCGCATTTGATAAACGCGCGAATGCATCACTATAAAAAGTCGCCTGTATGCGAGGGCCCTAAAGGTACTTTACCAACCAATTTGGTTACGCAAAAACAGTCATTATAGTAACTACGCTAGTTTATCTATACCCACAATATAAAGAGGAAAAAGACTTGGTCGTTATTCGTTTGTATTCAATCGAATAGTCTAGGAACCTTCGACGGTGCTGGTGTACGTGTCATGTTAACGGGCGCCGTCAACTGAGACTGGTCAGCTCTAGACTGTATTATTTATTGTCCTTAAAGTTATTTCCTCTTTGACTAGATTTTGGT